AATGTCAGGCAGAGACCCCACCAGTACTTTTGGTGTTCACACTTCATTTATGCCTCATTAATATTCATCACGCCACAGTCGAGGCTGCTGAATATTCATGCTCGCGTCAGGTGATTAGGCAGAATGTGATCAGGCGCAGATCACGGTAACGCAGAGGGGAGGACTGAAGTGACGAGAGGTCAAAACAACAACTGTGATGAAAGAGGAATCAGAGAGGGTGAAGCCGATATTTCAACCCCAGCGTTTAGATCCTCTCTCGTGGAAAAAAGAAAAAAAAAAGACTTCACCTGGAGCGGCAGCAGCATAAAACAGAGATGGAAAATGAATTGAATTTCCTCTGTAGCCAAAGAATAAAGGATCACAGTCTTTCATTTACAATCTCAGGCTGTACTCTCGCCTCTGAACATTCGACCAGGAAGTTTCCAAGCTCTTTTGAAGTTATCCGATTTTATTTTATTTTATATTTTTTACAAGCCGTTCTTAGTGTGTGCTGACGTGCCACAGTGGCATCCTTAGCTTTACACTCCTCCTTCCCCCCAGACTCAAAGTTGTTTTCATCTGCTCTACTTCATAAACAACGGTTGTGCGGAGCAGCTTTTGGGGTTTGGGCTGCACTTTGCTATCTTTCTTCCTTATGAAAGTGGAGCAGTTTTGTATCATCTGTTTACTTACCTCCGCTGATAAATAAAAGGGATGAAGACAGCTTTGTCTCAACTCTGCAATGTTCCTGCAGCTATTAAACAGACAAACTGCACACATGGGAAACGGGTGAGGCGAGGGTTCAATGAGCCAATTAGGGTGTGTGCTGTGCAGTTTTTATGCGCGTTTGTGTGCACTGTGATGACAGTATAGCCGACATGCCCCACTAACTTCTTAAGCACAAGAATCTCCACCAGAGCTGAGATAGTTATGAGGTCGGGATACAAGCTCATATCTTTGCCCTGTAAAATATTATTTACACATTCTGTCGAGTGAGAATCAGATAATTGTAATTACATTTCATTGAATCGTGGGTGGTGTATCCGGCTAAAGGAGGATACCGATTACTGCGAGATGAGGCCAGGGAGGTCCTAGAAAGTTCAGAGAATTCATTCATTATCTACTCACCACTATGCCGATGGAGGGGTGGGTGAAGTGTTTGAGTCCACAAAACACCTTTGGATTTTCAGGGATAAACAGTTTTGTTTTTTGCCTAAATGTCAGCTGATATGTTGGCCCCATACCGCGCGCACCCTTCCACCAACTTTCAAGAAAATCGGTTCTGTGGTTTTTGCGTAATCCTACTAAAAGCTAGACAAACAAAGAGAATGAAAATCACATTTCAATTCACTAGATTCAGACTGTTATTTGGATCAGCCTCAAGATCCATGAATTATTCTCTGAGAAATCGATCAAAATGTTGCTCACAATATTAAAGAAGGTGAAAAAAAATCCCTGGAACCCGCCCACTGATCTGGATCAAAATTCTATGGATCTTCCTCAGGATGGCCCGCCTCTCCACAAAATTTCCATTGGTGGATGAGTTTTTGTGTAATCCTGATACAAATAAATGAGCAGACGCAGAAAAAACTTAACCTCCTTGGCAGAGCTGATAACAGTGGCTTGCAGACTTTTACTCATAAGAAAGCAAACTCGCATCAGAACAATAATCATTTTCTCATGTGCAAGCACAGTTTCCACATCGCGCATGTACAGAGCGATCCGTGCAAGATACCTGACCTCAGAACGGTTGAAGCTGAATCAAAGTCAGCTTGACATGCACACTACCTACAACTACTCGCCCATCACAGATCTCAGGGTTTATCAAATTAATGCACGCATGCAAACAATGCTGCTCTTCCCTCATCTCGACAGCTCCACACTGAAAAGTATATATCCAGACAGAACCACCCTGAGGGACATGGTAGTGTCTTATTTTATAATCACAGAAAAAAATAATTGCTGTCATGGGATTTTTTTGTATCTCTGAGTTCTTTTTTGAATTTATGCATCGTCTCATGGGTCAGATCAAAGTGTCTTGTGGTCTTTATATTTGGCGCGGAGGCGGGAGGTTCCCCACTCTGGGGCTAAAGGAGAAGCATGCACTTTTCTTCTGGCTGAGACCAGGTGTGACTGCTCATGAACCGGTGCAGAGCTGTGAGAACATGTGATTCCTATAATGGATTTGGCTTCAGATACACCTCTGAGGCTCAAAGAAATACAGTAGCAAAGAAAATGTGATCACTACTAAAAATAGACATTGACAGCCTTCACACACAAGAGCACAGGACTGCGCTCGCTGATAAGGGACCTCTCGTAACATGATGAGCGGTCTTGTTGACGATTACGATTGATCCTGGCTCCTTATGTTGAGTCTCCTCCCACAACATAATTAATGCCCCCTCATCAGAACCACATGTACAGAAACAGAGCATATTCTGCACAAACATATGGAATTTTTAGCCTGTTTACTGATGTTACCGTCACATGATGACTTCACAGCTGAAGGGAGAAACCTCTCTGAGGGAATGGACAGGTGTCAGAGGATGTGACAGGCTCGTCTGTGAAGTCGTTGTGAGACATTTTTGGATTCTGAAGGGAGCCGAGACTTTAAGGTTGTTTGAAGACAAAAAAAGACAATATTTCCCTTTTCATTTCTCTTCTATATTTCTGCTCATTGCTCTCTCATTGTATTTGTCCTCCTTTCTCTCCTTCAGCGAGCACTCAGTCAAAATAGCTCGTAATAGCTCATGATGCTACCTAATAAGGCTTGAATAATTAGCCTACTTTGGCTTTGAAAAAAAAAAAGCATTTCTGTAAACACTCGTGTATGGCAACAGGCTTTCAGCCCCCAGTTTTTTCCCCCTGCTGGCTGCAGATTCAAACTTCAAATGGGAACGGCAGAGAATTGCTTTGTCCTGTGCCAATCCAATCCTGCATGGTTCCACTTCAGGAGGTTTGGAGGTAATTCTCCTGAAAAAAAAAAAAGATTGCCAGGATTCTGCAGGGCTCTGCAGTAATTCCGGATGGGAGGATTGTCAGGCTTCCTACCAAGTCTCCAGTGGGTAGTGAGGCAACGATGATGACTAATTTCAGATACTAGCTTGAACTGCTGTTGAACGACAGGGTGGTCGTGGTCCATGTGGCATCTTCTTTGAAGCATCCAATTATTTACATACTGTAGCCACAGTATGATGCAATTCACAAAATTGATGGAGCACCCTCACCACTCTGTGGATATAGGGGTGAGATTGTTTGGGCAGATGGCTGTGACCCTAGGCAGTCAGACAGTTAGTCAGTAATAGCAGAGCTTAGCTCGAGATAGGAGGGTGAGATTGGAGATGAGACAGAGATTGAATGTTTGATATGAGGTCAGTAAACAGAAAACATTATTTCATATTCCTGATTATTAAGATTGGTTATAACCTCACCAAGGAGGTAATGTTTTACTTTATTTGTCTGGTGGAAGGATGCGGTATGTGTCAGGGACGACCCTATAAAACGTTTGTAGGGATCATGATAAAGGGGAAGGTCTGGGAATTTTCTCTCTGAAAAAATTAATTTTAATGAATAATTGATGAGAGACATGTTTAGGGGACTGATTGTGTGTGCAATTTGATGCAGATCCAAATAATAATCTAGATATGTGGATTTATAGGGGGACTTTTTGGGCCTTGGTGGGGGAATACACTCTGACAGTGCTTCTATTTGTCCTCATGCAGCTACAATCAGTAGGTGATTTTCGGGGGAGAGGGGAGATGTCATCCCCTTTAAACCAAAATGAACCCTTATCAACCTGCCAAATCAGGGACAGTTGGAAAGTTGGACAGCTCCTTTTCTTGTATTTTCTGCTCCAAGTGGAAAGACGTTATTCTGTGCACTTGCATATCTGCCTCTGAGATCAGTCGAGGGAATCTGTTTCCCAAATCCCTCTCAGCCTGCAGAAAACTCTTGGATTACCGTCTGTGTGCCAACACTAGAAAGTGTTACCAATCAGATAGTCATGGTGTCGGTGTTGGTAGCTGGTGATAGAGAGGATCTGTGCTGAATCTGGGAAATTGCAGCGAAACAGGCTGGAAAATGCACATTATGAATGAATACATGAAACTTGGTGACATTTGTCAAAGATAAATAGAATTTGTGTGAGAGCAGCGATTATGATCGTTTGAGATACATCTCCAGTATAAATATATTATTTTAAGATCTGAAGATAATGTAGAGGCCCTCATAAATGTCAGTTGTAAATTACAGAAGATGTAATAGCATGGGAAATATATTGCTCTCAAGTGTTTTTTGCTTGAGAATACAAGGGTGCACAAGTTTTTACACTTGGATGTCTGGGTGTGTGTGTGTGTGTGTGTGTGCATGCGTGTTTCCTACATGCTCTCTCCTGTAATAATCCTCCCCCCCAAGCATTTGACAGCAGAGCTCTGGTCATGGTCACACCTGATGTACCTGCAGCTAATCCTACCCACAGCCAATGTCACTGTAACCAATCCTGTCACAGCCCTCAGTGCAGCCTCAGTTCCTTCCTGACATCTCAGTCACACCTCTCTGTCGTCTCCTCCCTCTCCTATCTGCTCTCTTCCTGTCCTCCCCTGACAAATGCATTGCTTTTCCTGTCTCCTTCCTTCTCACACTGACAAACCCATTGCCCTTCTTTTTGTCTTGTATCTCACCTAATAACACACTCCTTCTCCTTCCCCCTCTTCTGCTCTGCACTTTATCTTACATTTCTACCTTAATACCAGCAAACCTACAATCCCCTCAGCTTTGATTTGCCTGACATTTCCACCTCCTTTCCCTCATATTTCTTTCTTTCTCCTTGTCACCTGCTGCACCAACCCACTCACCACTATCTTTTCCTGCCCTGCCAACTGAAATAAACCCAGCAACAGGTCGTCTGTCGCAAAACAGAAATTACATTGTGTACCTGTCACCGACGCTCACATTTTTCTGCACCCAAAGGAATGACTGTCTGCTCCTTCTCATTCCCTCCCCTCTCCCTTAATTCTTTGCAGAGAGTAAGCTACGTGTGCAAAAGACCAATCAGTCTCAGGTGTATCCCGAGGACAGCCGTGTCAGGATCAATTGCACCATCACCGCCCAGACCAGCCAGGAATCCCAACATGCTGTACTGTGGTACGTGAGACGAGCGACGGGGTCAGAGGCCGATGAGCTCCTGCTGAGAATCGAACGCTCCGGGGCCTTCGAGTACGGCGCCTACGCAGATGAGGAGAGGCTGCGACGCCGGGTGCAGGCCGAGAGGCTGTCGCCCCGCTCCTACGTGCTGACGCTGAACAGGGCCGAGAGCAGCGATTCCGGGACGTACTACTGCCTGGTGGAGGAGTGGCTGAGTGACCCAGATGGAGCCTGGTATCGACTGTCCCGGGAGTCCTCAGGGTTCACACAGGTTCTGGTCAGACAGCCAGGTGAGCATGCGGTCAAACCCTCTTATAACAAAACGCTCACTTGTTTATTTGTTATTTTTCATCTACCTTTTTGCCTCCTGCACCGTCTCGAGGACATCTCGCTCTGATGACCCTACACGTGCCCTGGGCAGAGCTCAGGTGGCAAAAAAAATGGCAGCTGTCATGTGCCATGCCAAAGGGCACAGCCTGGTTCAGACGGACGACCTAATTCTCGTGTCCAGTACTCAAAAGCTTCCCAAGCCCTGATGTACCTATTGCCAGGCAGACCCTGACAGTCATCCCAAGTACACTTGGCCTCATATCTTCTTCTCTCCTCCACTGAATTTGCAACAAACAAATAATTATCCAACCCCATCTCTCCGTGACAAGCCTGTTTTCTTTTGTATGGCTCTGTTCCACACACTAGCTGAAGGTGACCTTTTTCAAACATCTCCTAGAGCGGTGTTCTTCTGCCAGGTGTCCTGTTTATTAATGCAGAATGTAAATCTTCGTCGTGGCGTCTGTCCAAATAGAACGGAAGGATCCAAACCAGTATAGCGAGGAAGAAGCCTTTATTTAATGTAGATAGTGAAGCTCTAGTGCACATACAAATACAGAAATACAAACATAAATAGAGACTTTCCTGTCGTTCTATTGTTTAGTTTCAACTTTGATTCAAAAAGTTAACTCATGGTTGTTTGTGGAAGTTTACCAGCAGCTTGCGTCACTATTAATCAATCAGGGAGCTACGGGATATTATTCATAACCATATAGATTTGAACTTGTAATTATATGTCCACACGAAAAGTAGAGTAGCGGTTCATGGATATTCATTAAGGTGCTAAAAAATGCATTCACTGAGGAACCGGTCCAGAAATCTGCCTGTCGAGAGGAAAGATTAGTGGAGACGTGTGCCAGCTCCTGCCTTTTTTTCTGCTCTCCTGCTGTCCTGTCCGCTTCTCGTTTTGCTTTAAAGTCGACTGTTCCAAACTGTGTGCAAGAGGATGCCAAGCAAGCCAGGTCTTTGCTGCCATTTTTTTTTGTTACTGTAGTGGAACTGGGTCACCCCTGAAGGGCTGTCACATACCTACAGATAGACACTGTAGCCTTGGGGTAGGATCTAACCTTGCTGAAAAGCTCAAAGCCCGGCGATGGCTTTGGGCAGCACTGTGGGATTCATTCATTTTCCTTTTTCGCACAGTTGGAAAGTTATTTGAATAATCATGTTCTGATTTTTGTGGTGCTATTTGAAGTTAATTTAGGCAGCAGCTAAAAGTTATTTAATTTATCAAAGATTCTGCCAATTATTTCTTCAACTAAATGCTTTGTCTGTGGAAAATACCCAACACGATTTCACAAGCTGACACGTTAAAATGAAGGCCGCTCCCAAACTTGATCACGAATCACTGGATGCAGTATTGGCCAATACTGACCAGAATCATTAATACTTTATTGATCCCTGATCGAGAATTTAGTCACGTTACAGATTTTGCATTAAGAGTTAAAGCTCGGATGTTGTCCCTACATGCGGCTCTCGACATGTGTAAACACAGTTTGGTGTAAGTTCGGCAGACACACATCCGTGAAATATTAACACGCTGGCAGAGTGGAGCGTGGATTCAACATCTGTCTACCACAGAAAGTGGCAGGAGATCAAGGCATATGAATTCTATTATTTTGACTCCTATATTTTCTGGTTTCTTGTCATACTTCTAGTAGAATCACTATCAGCCTACTTTGAAAGGATGTAGTATTTTATACTTTGTTGCGAGGCTCTAATGAATACTGTACATTTCAATGCTACTTTTTTCTCTCTTTCTTATCTCCTTCTTATCTCCATGGACGTTTGCAGAAGTTCGACTGCAGGTCGAGGAGCTGGAGTCAAACGTGACAGTGGAAGAGTCCGATTCAATCCGACTTGACTGCAGCATTCCCTCCCAGTCGTCTCGAGACTCCCGCTTCTCAGTGTCCTGGTACGTGGAGCACTCCGAGGACGAGGATAGCGACGAACAGCCGAGCGAGGACGATAGGCAGCAGGAGTGCGTGTTCTCGATCGGACACGATGCCGTTTTTGGAAACGGAAACTGCAGCCCCAGAGAAGAGGCGGGGCCTACCTCCCGTCTGCAATTTGAGAGGAAGGCGTCCGACCAGTACAGCCTGACCATTCAGGGGGCCCGGGCGTCAGACGCAGGGCGATACTACTGCCACGTGGAGGAGTGGCTGCTCAACCCTCGCAATGCGTGGTACCGCCTGGCCACCAACAACTCTGGGTTCACTATTGTTAATGTGCTGCAACAAGGTGAGGCCTTATTTAAACAAAGTTTTTGAATGTTGATGAACAGAATGTAATACTTACGTCAAAGGCTTGTATTATTCTGGTTATTTAAGACTGTACATGTTCCTCCGGTTGCAGGATAGGGATATTTTTCCACTGCTCCTTCGACTGATAAGCCTCGTGCTGTATTGTCATATTGACCATCCCTAGTATGTCCTCCTTACAGTGCATCTAACAAGAGAATATTAATAGTCCAATTAAGGAGCTCTCAGATAGTCTGTGTGTCACCCCTGCCTCGATGATCAGGCTTCCCCAGTCACAACATTTATTTTGAAGACGGGAACAACCGCAGATAAAGGCAAAGCCAGCGATGGCCACCCACTGTTTAGCATTAAAGCAAAGTAATTAATGGCTTCAGAAGCAGTGCTGGGATCCGAGGAATTCAAATAGATTTATTCACCAGTGTCAACAACTGGATGAAGATCATTCATAGCTTTTACAAATTGAATTATAAATGCTAGAAGAGTCATACAATCCAGAGTGAAATTCAATCATAATTAATTTTTCAGTTGGCATTTTCTTTAGGACTATATCAAGAATACTTTTTTTCCACTGGGGCTTTTGCATGTGTGTTTTCCGTCAATGTGCTTGTGTGTTACGGCCACCGGACATCTATAAAGTTAGTATGTTCTCTCTCAACAGTGTCCACCCTGCGGTCGGTGGTGTGCTCCAACGAGTCCCTCTTCTACTTCGTCTTCTTTTACCCCTTCCCCATCTTCGGAATCCTCCTCATCTCCCTCCTGCTCGTGCGCTACAAGGGCCGCAGCAACAGCAAGAGCCAGGAGGGCAAAAACGGCGCCCCGCTCCTGTGGATTAAAGAACCTCACCTGAGTTACTCGCCTACCTGTTTGGACCCTCCTGCGCTCAGCCTGCACCCCGGCTCTGTTGACTAAGCGAAGGTCCCCGCCCCCCTTCCTGTCCCGCTCTCGCTGCGGATCCAGCCAACACAATGCCAGGGAGCAGATGTGGACTCCACCTTCAGACCTTACTGTCGTTCACTGCTGTGTTGAATTAGTCAATCAGTTGATCAGTTTTAAGATTCCTACCCTGATTGCTGCCTGTTTTATGTTAACAACTGTGTGTGTGTGTGTGTGTATGTGTGTGTGGATGAGAATGTGTGTGCCATGTTAGCACAATTAAGTGTTTGAGTGCAAACTGAAGGATGAGAGAGTATCACAAGTCTCTCTCTCTCTGTTTTTTTGTTTTCTGCGAAACCTAATCTCATAGCTGCATTTTGAGTTTTTTATTATTCTGAATATGTGTCTATTTTTCAAGAAGAGAAGAAAACTGCGCACATGAGATCACTGGCCAATCTGGGAAGAAGATTTAAGAGAGGGAACTCTATAATGGACTCTGGCACTGAGCGGATGCCAAAAAAAAAAAAAAAAACACAAACATCTCCGCACTGATCCAAGAGCAGCCACAGCCTGGCCCACTATGTTGGTTGCCATAGTGATGCTCTGCGCCCACTGACTTCGTAGCCGATGACTTGGTTTCCAGCCTGCATAGAGACAAAGGCAAGGACACACAAGTCTGTGTCCTAAGTGAGGATGTGTGTATGTGTGTTGGCCCACCTGCCTCCACAATGAATTTGCCTTGGCAGACAGAAACAGGTCCTGGTGCGCCACTTAAACACTGCCAGACACTCTGGCCTTAGCGAGAGACTGCTCCGCTCTTCTCCTCCATCCTCCTCCTCTCCCAAAAGTGACAGCGAGGGAAAGCTAGGGAGGTCAGAACGGATGGAGAATAAATGAACAGCTCTCTCCTGCTGAGGATATATGTACTTCAACACATGGGATTTTTTTTTTTTCAGCCTCCTTATTTCCAATGCTGTTCTCCGCAGCCAGTATTTGAAGTTTTAAAGAAAGGGGAGGACGCTGATTGGTTCCGAGGCAGATCGAGAACATGTCTGCTTACCTCCTGCTGTGGGTTTATCGAGCCTTGTTGGCAAAAGGGCAATTTCTACACCCTTGTTGAATCAGATGAATTGTCCTTCTTAAATTGCACAGTGGGGGTTGCTGACTGAAATTGAATTCTTGCACTTTTCTTTAAGTTGCCCAGTATAACCACTCTGTTGTCCTGTTTTTAAAAGATGCCACAAGCTCAACTAATGCATATTTAAGTTAAAAAACTAGACCTGGTCTGTTAAGAGCCACACGTCAGATTACTAATGTGTAGATGTGTAGTCACATACAGTAACACTCTAAAATGTATTCTGCACATTATAAGAAAACCTAGATTTTTTTTGTGTTTCTTTTAAAGATTTTTCTATTTATTGTTTTATACTACTTTGCATAGCTTTGTAAGATTTTCTTTTTTGTTTTTTGTGCTTTGAAATTCTCTAAAACCTGTGCTGCTTGCGTTGCCAGGCAACTGCACCCAAGCAGATTATGTCAATAGCCTGTGTGTTGGCAACGTGGTAGATGTAGAAATGCTAGACTCGTCCTGCGCATTGCAGTCTGTAGCATTTCACACCAGATTGTCAAGTTTGGTCAGTGTCACAACACTGTATATCTATATCTATTATGGAAGTTACTGTGGCTTTTACATGTATAGTAGTCAAACAGACAAGTCACAGAAATTGATCCACTTAATGCTTCTTCGCTCGCGTTGCGTTTATTTAGTGAAATGTGATGTAACACCTTGGTAGGATGTTTGATCAAAGTCAGCTGAAAATGAACTACTGCGACATCGTCTTCTACTTGTGGATTCTCGCTGAGGGTTTATCTCTTCAGTTCCCCCCTGACGAAAAGGCAGAAGGGTTGAAAATAGCTTTTCCGCTGGAACTGAACAGCCGGGGAGACACGAGAAATCCTCCTGCCTGACCCGGGCCCTAACCCTCTCACTGCCAGACTGGACCCGAAAATGAAAAACTCTCGAAAAACTTGACATCGTTGTCTCAAGTGTGTCAACATGTATATTGCATGAGTATTGCAGGAGGAATTTTGATGTTTTGTAAACTTTGAAATCTTTGAGCATTGTGTTTGTGTGACAGAGCAGTGCCCAATCCCCCCCCCCCCCCCCCGACCCCGACTTCCTGAGCCAACACAAAGCCCAACCCCCTCATCATTATTATTCAACTGCCAATCGAACATATAAAGTAATCTATCTGGAGGTTGTGTTTGATATTACTGCTCATATTTGTTCTTTTAAATGCTTTGCTTTTATGCAGCACTTCATTAAACAGATTTATCAAATATAAAAATAAAAAAAAGTAGCAGATACTGACACAAGCTTACGAATTCTGAGATTTCAACTTGCTTTGCTGTTTTTCAAGTTAGCATTTCAAGTCCAGGCCAAACCGCCGTGTGGAGAAGAGCTGGTGCTGTTGAGTCAGGGGAGTCAGAAGTGTCATGTATGTGCAGCAAATTCAGCTACAACTAAATTTGATTAATGTCGAAGAGGAGGCCCGTCCCTGCCTGTCAGCTCATTATCAAACACGTGGTTACAGCTTGGCTCTCATGACAGAGAGTTCAGCCGGAAATATCTAAATCATCTTTAGCCAAGAATTTGGTCAGTTAGGTTTTGGGGTCAGGACAAAAACAACTTATAAAGAAAAAAAGACGAGTAGTCCACAACGAACATGTAGTTGATGAGGTGACATTTCATCTCTAAAAGTCTTACACCCATGTGAAGAAAGAGAAGGGATGAAAAGCACAATTAGGACACGTGATGCAAAAAACACAATCCACTTTATACTTACAGCATATCAAGGGGGTGTGCTATTTCAAATGCACAATGATAGAAATATGTACAATGATGTGTTTATGCATGAGAAAGTTACATCTGTAAATATTAGTTTGTTTTCTGCATCACTTGATCTGATTGTCAGCGTGATTTTCTGTTTGTATACTCTGCAAATCCACTTTTTCTACCACAGGGCGTTTGTCTAAGAAAGACTGCGGTCGTCAAAATGTCACCTCGTTAAGTCGCAATATTCAGAGTGTGAATGTTAGTCTTTAGCCTCCTGTTGCTATTTGATGCGATGCTACTACAAGTCAGAAGCATATATATGTATATGCATATGTATATTTAATAAACGAACAGCAGGAAAGTCATTCTGTGCAGCTGAAATCAACAGGAATAGCTGATGCGGCTGTTGGAAGTTTGACCGTTATGGTTGCGTATCTGATAGACTTGCATCATATGAAGCAGATTTTAGTTTTTTATAAGCAAATCAGGAGCTGGTTTGCTGGATTGTTTCTTTTTTATAAATATGGAACAATCCTGGAGGTTGAGTCACTGTATAAATCACATTAATCCCAGACTGAATTCATTCTAAATTCAATTCATTTCATCTCTGTAGACCTGAGCCAGGAAGGATAGGGCACGGTTGTGGTCACAGCGCTGCCGCCATCGCTGGAGCTGCACACGAGCTCTGAATTGTGTTTTTTTTTTTGTTATAATAATAATATTAAAAGCATCCATCGCTGCCTCCCAAGATTCCCCCCCCGACATTCTGACAGTGTTGTAGCTGCGTTTCGAGGGCTGCATGTATCGGCTGTGTGCTGGCTCCAGATTTAGGTGTAAAATAGTTTGTGGTGATGTTTTCAGTTCAGCCAGTGATGCTTTATTTTCAGTGATGTATTTTTATATGACCATGGTTTGTTTCTTTTCTTTTTTCTTTTTGTTACTCTATCTAATAGTTGCCATCGTGAACATTAAAAAGGCACTTTGCTATTGTCAGTTTATTGCAATAAAATACATTCGGTGCATCTTCCTGTTTTCGTTTCAATCGTTTCAAACGAGTTGTTAGAACAACATATCGATCCAGTTCTTTTCACAACCCACCACCAGCTCCCTTCCCAATCATCTGGCTCTGCTTTAATCGTAAACTCAAGGTTGACGCCCTGTAGCCAGCAGGGTCTTGTCGAGTCGCCGTTGGATTTTAACCTCTGAGCCCCTCGACAACGTGAGGCTTTATTTACTCTGCATGTTCCTTTCGCTCGCCGTGTGTATGTGTCTTATTCAAGTGGAGGAGAGAGAAGGATAGTGTCAGCACGATAAGAGGATAAACGATGCTTCGAGGGCCTGCTGCAAGTTAGCCAGGCACTTTTTTGATAGCCTCAGCAAATTACACCTCACCATTCATAACTCATAACCAATACAGACGGCCTCGCTCCCTCCCACACACACACACACCTCCGAAGCATCAGAAGCTGCAATCTTCCACAAGTCCATGTCATTCATAAACTTCTCCCCAACTCCTTCTCCCATGAATCCATATTAACTCATATTGATTCACACAAACCAGATGAAGCCAAGAACAAACGCTAGGGCCCTTTCCATAAATCAGTTTGGCTTTTGCTCTGCGTGTTAACTTCACAGTTCTCAGGATTCTGTGATGCGCGAAGCCCCCCCCCCCCTGCAGGAGCCTTTGGTCAAAGATCTATTGATGCTTCTGGCGCTGAATGTAAAGGCAACACTGATACTGCTGATGTTATTGTCAGTGGCTCCATTGCAACTTCACAGGATGCAGAAACACCAAATCCTCCCGCTTTGAGCACCGGCTCCCTGTCCCACTTTCTCCCTGATTTTCATTTTGTTTCCATTTTGTCAAGTGCACATCCTGTGAGGAAAGATCTGTTTTGCATAAAACTAAGTAACACTCACAAATCCATATAGTCCTCGCTGAGGGTGCAGACACCGGAGGGACACACATGGGCAGGCGGCACTTGTGGCATGTCAGGAAAATAGATTATGATTTAATACCAGTGAGAAAGGAAGCAGGGAAGAGAGAAAAAAAGGTAACAGGCGTCTACTTTCATTTCATTTCACTGTGGTGAGCTCAGATGCATCCTTACAAGGACAGAGAGAGAGAAATCAAGATCGATACAGATCAATAGCACACAACTGTAAATTGCAAAAGGTTTATTGGCTTGCATAGGAATTCATGTTAACATACGTACTGAGGAAAAAACTAAATATACACTGCACAGATTGTTCTGTTCTTCGAGGTGACGACACAAGGGAGGCAGAGCTACCAAATTAGCAGCTTGTGGTGTGAGTGGACTACTGAGGCTCGTGTGCCACTTGCTGTGCTCACCTTTGTCACTCACACTGTGACTAAGTGAGTCAGTGCGAACAAAAGAAAATCTTGTTAATACACAAATTGTAACGTTGGCATTTCAAAAGCTGCGCTGCTTTCTCCTCTCAAAGGTTCAAATGCAGGGGTGAGTGATTAAGGTAGGAGGAGAACAGATGTACCACCTGAACTGCAGAAAATCGCTCTACAAATTGCTGTTGATGTAGCAGCAGCTCCAGGACTGTGCGGTTAATTCTGCAGGAGAAAAAATGGGTGAGTAAATCAATAGTCGTATTAAGGGCCTGATAGTTAGAGCTGTGTTCTGGTAATAAAAACAGGTTTGTAGATGATTATCACTGCAACCACAGGAAACTCACATGAATCACATGCAGCTCAAAATACACAAGACACATATTGAAATCCAAACAACAAAAACACTGATGGTCCCACATCATTCATTATGGATTAAAAACATGCACAAATTTACAAACACACATTGGAATATTCTCATCTCATCCATAATTGATCGGCTCTAAAATCGTTTGTGTACTTCCACTGGCTCCGAGTAAACTAGCGCTAAAGTTGCTACTACGGCAACGTTTCGCCCCTGGGACCTCTGCATTTAGTCTCTCCGGTCTCCAGGGGCCCCTGTGAAAGATTCAGATGAGAGGCTAATTACTTGTTCCAGACAGTTGTTGTATAGTTTGTTTTTTAAACATTTAATACCTGATAGGTGGATCGACCTTGCATGGTTTAGTCCTTAGGGCATTTTGCTTGACCTCTCCTACCACAGCTAATCTCCAGATTGGTCAAAGCTTCTTTTAACAATCCAAGGCTGTGGAGGTTTAAAATGTATTTTCTGTGTATAAGCTGAGGCATTTTCAAACAAGAGTAGTCTGCAGCCATATTAGCAGCTTTGTAAGGTTCTTCAGACACATTTGGGTTTTTGAGCTAATGCCAGTGAGATAACATGCTCAGGATGTTAAAGCAACATTTTAAAACTTTAAAATAGCAACTCCTCTATTAGTTTGATGGTTCACTGACTTGGTGCAGCTTCCGTGCCCACTCCTCACCCTGAAGGTCTGTTGCTCCATGAAACCTTTTGAGTGCTATCTCCTGTGACTAGTGTGCAGCTGACTGGCCTCCAGTAAGTTCAAGAGTAGAACCAAACTGATCAGTTTAAAAGAACTCAGAAGTCATTACATTTAAAACAGATTTTGGTGTATTTGTTAAAGTGGCAGGGAAGCAGGGGATCATGGGTAATATACACTGTTCAGTTGTGTTTTGTTAAAATGAGTGGGACCGTACAGTCTGAGCTCCGCTTAACACACTGATAGGCTTTGTTTTTGCTCTATATGAAAACCACTTAAAGGTGCAGTGAGCAATTTTGATCCAATACACTTTTTGTCAAATTCTGCTAATATCTCCTCATGACCTGCGAGCTGTATGTTCTGTGCATGTGCTGGAAAAATACATGATTTAGATACATCTTCTCTCTGAGAGTTGAAAGCGATGAAGAGGTTGCTCTTTCTCTACTTGAAAGGTGGATAACTTTTGAATTCTTTTGCTCACATTCAGTCAGTATTGTTTTGTCCTATTTGCTAAAGTTTGTTGTGGGTAATTCCAACTTCGTGATGATGCAATGCGCATGCATGAATTTTGGGGGTGGAGCTTCTGAAGTAGCAGTGAAGGGGAGGTTGAGTTTGTTTTGGTCTTAACTTAAAATATTAACAATTGCTTACCCCACCTTTAATTGCTCTACATGTAGAGGGCGCTATTGCTCAGTAAAAGTTACATTGCTGCTTTAATATGTTGTTTATCAGGTACAGTAAAATGTTTATTCAAGCATTGAAATGTGCCATTTTAATCCAGTAGTTTAATTTAAAGCCATGAACGTGCGCCTCTCAATGAGGCAATGTTGAGGTTGTTAATGATTAATCCTCTGTGTACCTTGTGGATGCATATGCAGAATTTCCTCACAATCTATACACTGTGCAATCAACCAACTTGCTGCAGGGAAGAGCAAAGAGATCTTTTGTAATATTATTCCAAACAAGTTGTTTTTTAATTGTTAATAAGACTTTACAGA